AGCTATGTCGATTACATGAAGCGTTTTGTAAGAGCTGTAGAAGGTGTGTTGGCATGAGGGATACACAATGGGTCATTTCAGGTGAAAAAAATCACTCATCAACTAAATGAACATGTTTTCGACAGAATTTTGCCGAGAATTGCTTCGTATCTGCACGGCAGTTTCTTAACAGTTTCACGCCTTCTGCGGAGTTCAGAAGATTGTGCTTATAGTGAGACCAACGGCTCAACACATTTATAAGCCACCATTATACATGTATTTTACTTATTGTTAACAATTTAAAAGAACTCGGGACCCTGCGATTTTGAAACGGATATTTTAATTTATGACATTGGTTTACCTAACCACTCAACAACATTTTCAAAATTTTCTCCAAAATGACTCAGTGTTTTTTATTAAATTATTATTTTTTAATGTATTTCTGGCAAAGCGTTAAGGACGCTTACAATTACCGGAGGTCTCATTGTCGTTGAACTTCTTGAAATTTCAAAAAATTGTAAAGGTTATAATTAATGCGAGAAATTATGTCCTGATGTAACACCACAGGTTTAGATATTTTTTTTTCAAAAGCGTTTGACGTCATTGACAATTACATTTTATTTTCTAAATTACCTTCGTATGGAATTCGTAGTATTGCTGGACTTATCTTCATATCTTAAGTAACGATCTTAGAAAGTATAAATGATGGGACATTATTTACTATCCCTTCCCATTCATTACTGTTTGAACATGGAGTCGCATGCTTTAATTTTGTCTTTTCCTTTCGTACAAAAACGAAATGCCCTCATTGATTCGAAACGGAAGAACCATTTTCTTTGCGGGTATTTGTCGTAATAAATGAACAGAATGGAGTACAATATCAGATATTTCAAATTGGTTTTATAATAAAAACATAATAATAAAAGAAGAGAAAATTGTTTCGATTCCATTTTACATTTTAAAAATACAATTATATACTCCATTGAAAATAAGCATTGTGCAATTGACGTTCGGGGAACGTCAAGAGAATAAACTTTTTGTGTATGTGAATTACAATCAAAACTCAAATACAACGTCCATTTAAATGAATTGAAAATTATTTCTTCTTAATCTATTTCAATTAAAATTATTATTCAAAAAGAATGAACCGATTTTGTCAAGCTTTATATTATTAAGGATTCCTAAAACAAACGTTCCACTAAATAACAAGTATTCTGCATAAAAGTAAGATTTGTTAACTGTGCTACAATGTTAACAGTGTTCACCGCCTGCAGCATGAGCCACATCAAGACGCAAATTACTTTAAAACACCTTGTGGCATTTTATTATCGACTGACTTTATCTCTTCTGAAATTCGAACAATAAGATCATTCAGATTATCGGGTAGTGGGGGAACAAACACTTTTTTGCATCCCCAGACGAAGAAATCACTCGGAGTACGGTGTGTGGATTTCTGAGGTGAAGCGAGAAGTAGGCCATGATTTTCTTCCGGCCAAGAAACCACTGAGGCAGTTTCTCGTTCAAAAAATCTCGCACTCTTCCGTGTCAATGAAGCGGTGCTCGGTCTAGTTGTAACCTGAAAGTATGTCAATGTACTTGCATTAAAGGGAAGAGCTAGTTTCTTACCAATTCTGGATAAGCAAACTGTGATTTCCTCAAAGGAAAAGGGAACTTGAATCCTGTCGTACTCAAAGCACAGAACAAATACAATTTGTACTATTAAGACAAAACACAACGCTTTGAACCTTTCTCATACTATAATGGGTAAGTCCTCTCTAGCGAACATAGTGACGTGATTTGGAAAATTGCAACTAATTCAAATTTCAAGTACAATAACTTTTAAATCATTCTGCGAAACGTAAGTAAACATAATTGTAAATAAACTAAAAATATTTCAAATTTTTTAAAAAATCTTGTTCTTCCTATTCAAAATTGAAGTTTTACAGGGAGTTTAAAAATAATAATTCATAACATTTTGGGACGATACCGCTGTCATCAGACAGACGGCAAACCTTTATCCATGGGATGTTTCGAATTAAATGAGCTAATTAATTTTTGTATTAATAATTCAGTTATTTTTAATTATAATTTTAATTTGCTATTTCATTAAATGTTTATGGTGGGTGGAAAATATATTTTCGATATCGTGGAGGTCTATGGCAATTTTGTTTCCATTTATGAAGCATTCTTTTAAATATTTCATCCTGTACACCTTCATCCTGTTATTTATGGTTACCGTTACCGTTAAAAATTATATTTTTTACCACTTTCAAAATGTTTCTCAACGCTTCTTGCTCTCCATTCAACATAGCGCCCAACGTCTGTTCTGTATTTTCAATCGAAGTGCTGTGGTCACGTTGTTCATGACGAAAAATGATGTTGCACAGAACGAGCCAAAATCGGTGCGCCGCCGGAGTAACTCATCCATGTATTTATTTATTTAGGTCTAAAACGGTTAAAAACTGTGTGTGACATGCTATGGGGGCAAGTTAACTTGAAATTATATTTATGTCAAGAAGCAAAAGGGACATCTCATCATTTGCTGAAGGATCAGGGAAACTGGACGAAAACCTGATCGAGATGGGGGTCATTGAACCACAAGTGCTATACTTGAAGTACAATACTTTTTGCAGTTTCTTTAGAATTATATGATCGCAATGGTAAATACTACATGTAATTGTTAAAATTAATATTACTTTCTTCTTTGGAAGCTCGGTGTAGTCTCTAATTGTATAGGAACAGTCGTGCAGCAGCAGATATTTTTCTTGGGATTTAAACGTTTGCATTGAATTAAATTGTTTAATGTCATCTGGCAAGGTGATGTAAAACAATGTACATGTATTATATGTGAATTTTTTGTAGTGAGCAGTTGATACTTTCACCTGATTACTACGTCGAGTGTTGTAGTTATATACAACGGCGTTTGCTGAAAATATATTCCTGTCCTTAATTTTTGACAAAAACAGCTGATTAATACATTAAGAGACAAGGTAATGGTAAAATACCTATATTAATAAAGAGAGGCTCACAGGAATCACGTGGGTAGGATTTGCTTATTATTAGTACATTTTTTTGTAATCTAAAAGTCTGGGAGCTACAAGATGTATTTCCTCAGAATATTATGCCATATCTGAAGCGGGAATGAACATTCGGGAAATATAAACAACGATCAGTATGTAGGCTGACTGAATTTGAAAGAATTCTGAACGCGTAGCATAAAGAACTTAATTTAGTGAGCAATTCATTTAAATGGACGTTCTATTTAAGGTTTGACTGAATTGAAAGACCTAAACGTTTTGTTACCTTAACGTCAGTCAATAGCACACCGTTTATTTTCAGTGGAGTGCAGAAAACTGCATTGAAACACTTTTCTTTTCATTTATTATTAATTTGTTATTACGGAACCAATTTGAAATATCTGATATCGTACTACTCATGGTTTCTTTTTGTAAAGAATATTCGTATTATGTATTTCCACCATGGTCTGAAGTAGCTTCAGTACCAAAAGGAAATAGCCCAGACTGAAGAGATAGAGAAACTAACGAGTACGAGAAAGTGTATGCCATTCTGCCACAACACTAACTTATATCACCAAACTATAAAGAATAACTATATCGCCAAAATATTTCAAATATTTCAAAGCGAAGACAGTGGAATATAATAACTAGTTATTCATTGTTTTAGCCAAATAATGCTTCGATAATTTTGGGTTGGTACTATTCTAAATTGTATGATAATTTCTGTTTTTTGAGTATTTTGCTTACGATGTCAAATTTCTCAGTTCTCTCGTGACTAAAAGTTTTGCTGGGGAAGAAAAATTTACTGACATTGTATATAGTAGATAATTTATTTTCATATCAAGTCATTACTAACAGAAAGTGGATGGATTTGAGTTATTAAAAAAACTGAAAATAGTCCTTTTTTCCACATTATTGCCAAAAAACTGTATTTCCAGGCAAGATTCTTGTTGACAAACCTGATATTTCTGATCAGCGTCCCAAAACGTTCATACAAACAAAATACTTACACTACATCAGACATTTCCGCTATAATCTCTTTTGTGCTCTCTTTTATTGGCCGACAAGGTTGAATTTTCTTTCAAATAAGGAAATGACAATTTTTTATTGCTTAAAAAATGAATATTTATGCTTAAAAATGTGACTCAGAGTAAACTATTTCAAATTGGATTGGCTTTTTACAAAAACATGTTTTTGTAAACTCAATGTTCATTCCAACGTATACCCTGTTTACGTCTCAGTAAGAGTCATTTGAAAGGTCTAATTAACTTACATGCTATCAAAAAATTTTAATATAGGAATTATTAAGGAATGATTTTTTGGTTGTGCCTCTTTAATATGAATAAAACTAATTTTTGTTCTTTTATAAATTTAGAAATAAAATTCTTTTTAATTAGTTGAGATATTTTGTTTATGTTTTCAATTAAGTTTCAATATTTTTCAGTAATCGTGATTTCAAAAATAATTTAAAACATAAAACTTACCATATGTGTATAAAATGTTTAACTTCAAACACAGAGAGAATAAGGTCAAAGGGAAGAAGGAGTGGCAGTAGTGGGGGGGGCGAGAATAAAAGAGGACAAAGAGAAGAAAGAAAATAATCCAGTAGAATAGGTGTAGCAATAACAAAGATAGAAAGAGCAAGAGAAGCAAAGATAGAAGGAGAAGAGAAAAAAGTGATTCTGTAGAATAGGTGTAGCAATAACAAAGATAGAAAGAGCAAGGAAAGTAATGATAGAAGGAGAAGGAATAAAAAGATTCAGTAGAAAAGGTGTAGCAATAATAAAGAGATAAAGAGCAAGGGAAGGAAAGATAGAAAGAGAAGGGAAAAAATGATTCAGTAGAATAGGTGTAGCAATAAGGAGTAGCAAGATAGAAAAATCAAGGAAAGGAGAAGAAGGCACTCCAGGGAAACGAAAATAGAGCTAGAAAGCCAAGTGTGATATTCGGGAAGCTGCCTAAAACAAGGCGCAGCGCTGCACCGAGGGCTTGCGCGGGACTCACCCTGTTGCCGTCGCCGTCGACCGGGGCCTCCCCGGAGGAGATGGTGAGCGCGAGGTAGTGGGTGACGCAGAGCAGCGGGCTGAGCACGTAGGCGGCGGCGATGGCCACCAGCGTCGTCTCGCGGCCGCACCACTCGCGGTTGCGCTGCGGGTGCGCCACGGCGATGTAGCGCCACACGGCCAGCGTCACCGTCAGCCAGATGGACACCGTGTGGCACACCTGCGCAGCGCCGCGCCCCCGTCAGACACCGGAATGCCAAACATCGCGCCTCACGACACAACCGTTTTGGGCGACAGGCATACGCTGGCCAACGGCAACAATCCATGTCGATTCAGTGACTCTGACTGCAAGGTCCTAGGTTGCCTAAATTTCTCCTTTTCCCACACCTCATCAAGACTCCGGCTGCCCAACGCATTCTTCGACGTACGAGCGAACAACTTAAATCCAATCCCGCACCACCTGCCCGCTTCCTATTGGTCGGCTACTTGACCAATCCCGCCCTTCCCTTCTCCTCCATATAAGGCCAGCGCGCTAGTCTCAGCTAGGCAGCAGTACGCTCTGAAGAATGCCACAATACGCTGGCCGAAACGTTAGCCACCATGACATTGAAGCGGCTCGTCCCGGATAGCCTAGACAACATGGAAGATCCTAGGTTTAGAGTCCCTACGGGGGAAGGATTTTCGACACTAGCTACATAGCAAGGTCGAGTCTGGAGGAGAATTCTAGCGGCAGGCTGTTTTGATTGGTAGTTTTCCGTGGTTTCTCCGATCAACACCAGACGAATGCGGGAGAAATTCCTTAACAAACGGGCCACGCGATATTTCCTTAAATCTTCCTTGACCTAGCCTCTCACCTTATTTACAGACGTTAACCCTTACAACACCACACTTCCGCCCTTGTTTGGAGTTAATCGAAAGCTTTGATCCTGTTGGGACTGGGGCGTTGCCCTGCTGATTGGAGGTATCTGGCTGGAGAAATTACTGCTAGACAGATGGACGCCTTGGAGCACACCTACACATCACTTCGCCGATCAGATCTGTGCAGCAATTGTAGTCTTCCGCGGCTACAGTCGTGCGGAGGCTCTCGACTGCCCGGGTGACGCCGCGTCGAGGACAGTGATGACGGCGTTTCGACTCTCACATCGTGGCCTTGTACAGGGATGGGGTTCCAACGGACACGGTGACTGTGACGCTTGGCCCTCCAGCCCTGAAGAAGATCACGATATGACGGGCGAAGCGTCGGCATCACTGCCCTCGACGCGGCGTCACCCAGATAATCCATGAAGTATCCGTTTGAAATTCACATTGCCACTTCACTTGGAAATAATTTCTTAACGTATTATCGTTGACACTCGTCATTAACACCACGTACATGTTTTAACTCGATGTCGCAGTTTTATTGCAAATCCAATTGACAACATTTATGAATGATTCACACCTTTAGCACCATCACGAATCATAAACACATGAAATATTTTTGGGATACTTACGGGTTATACGTTCAAACATCCAAACAGAGAACGTCTTGATCAACCATCACACATCACAATAGAACATTTAGATTACCTCTTCACGCCATGAACGTTGTGACTCCAAAATTAAGATTCTATATGGTATATACTCTTTACCTTTAACCAGACGGTAGTTCACTGTCTTATCAATATATTCCACATTCACATAAAAACAGGCAAAAAACGTCTTAAAGAAAATTCATCCTTCATTTCAGGGCAATTTAGATAACGACAAAAATTATGTAACGTCAGAACTCTTCAGTAAACGAATTCTACTATTTCTAAAACAAAGGAACTCTTTGTGAGACACCTCCCAATCATCACATTACATCAGAACTGAGCAAAGTGTATTTTTCTCAAACATCGGACTTTCACATTAGATCTATGCAGAGAATATCATCCCCAAACCAGGACGATTATTGTAACCAAATGGGACACCTGCACTTCATCGAGTTACATCAGAATAATACATAAAACGTCAAACTTAAGGCAATTAGCCATATTTTTGCACTGTGCATAACTATGGGACGAGAGTACATGTGACGTCTTCGAATACGTTAGCATGATACTATAGAAAAATGCAAAGAATGTCATCAAAGCACGGCAAAAATCACCATCAACCATATTGATACCATTGGACACACATATCAGTCACGAGTCTTCACGACAAAGCAAAAATGTCTCCAAGGGGTAGAATGACAGTCAGCTGATGACCGTTACCATTAGGTAACATGGTAGTTTCATAACACTTCGGTGTCAATATATTTTTAACTTGCTAAAGAATCTTTAAATAGTTATTTTCGTTACTAGTACATAAAGTCTTTGTCATACGAATTAAAGGTGGGTGGATGGGGCAACGACAGGAGACGATTCCAGTATTTAGAAATGAGTACACCAAAGACATTGTGGTAGGAGTTGTATAAGTTACTTTTGTTAGGAATTCATGGAAACACAAGTATACCATCTTGGGATCTTAATATGCAAGGCGCCAGCCATATTGATTCACCTCGCCGCATTGATTCTTACTTCGCAGTACTCAAATTCCTTTATTTGGCGGTAATTTCTTTAACACCAATAAATAAACAGTGAAGATCTCCATATATTTGGGATGAAAAGTTACTGGTTTCCGTGTATGTGGGGTATTTTTTAAGGCGCGCCTTCATCAAAAGGCACTAGTATCGCCCACCAACAAGAATGACATTCTGCTCCAACATCACCTGAAGTACGTCCCAGGAAATCACGGAAACAACCGAAAAAGGAAGCCGTTCTTTGAAATGTTCATCAACGCCGTGACATCATCCAACCTCGTAATTTAAGTTCCATAATTAAACAAATTAAAGGCCCTTTGAAATGGAAGGTAGTTATTGCAATTACAGTTTATCATGTTTTACATAAGGGCAGAGGAGAACTGGGAAGTTGCAACCAGGCAACTTGCGTAACTTTGAACTACATCAAGGCGTAGCGGCTGCTTTTGAGTAGCGTACTTCACATGCTCTCGAAGCCATATTGCACGCTCGAGGCGATCACAGCTCGCCAGGTATTTTGGAGCCCACTAATGAAGGGACTACTCTCGCTGCAGACGGCGCTCGAGTGCCCAAGTGAGGCGACACCTCATTTTGCAGCCCTTGATGTTGCGGATGAGACGGGCGGTATGCAAAGTACGGTGTATGTACGAGACAAAAAGACTGACACACTAAACGATGGTATTACACAGCAATGAAACTATTTGGTGAAATTAGATATTGGAATATTTCTTGCTTTTTCATAAATAGATTTTGAAAATCTCGAGAAACAGTTGAATTTTGTTACATTAAACTACAAAAACTAGAGATACTCAGCAACTTGTTTGACGTATTATTGGAAACTGTTGCGTTATATTATAAAATTGAAACGAAAGAGGCCCGTGCATGGAGATGCTACCTGCTGGTCCTCTTGAATACCGACTTAACAATGTTAATGGAGGATTACTTCTGAGCGACTTAACATATATGTGTGTTAATGGAGGATTACTTCAAACAGCGCTCAATGCTCCTCTAAGAGCTGGGAGACGCTTTGCCTCTATAACAACGGAACAAACTAAAGTAATAATAATAATAATAATAATAATAATAATAATAATAATAATAATAATAATAATAATATAAAAGTATAAATTTTGTCCTACTATCACGAGCCTCTACTAGAAAAGGTCTAAACCAAGGCAAAATGTCTACAGTGCGTATCTGTAATTATTTTGACATTCATGTACAGCAGTTATTTCTTAGTTACCATGCAAAAGGAACAAGCATTGCGAAATCAAAACTATCTCCGTTTTTGCAGCTCATTATACAGACAAGCAAGGACAATTTCATGCAATGTTGTCTTCATAACATAAAAATGAGCTTACAATTCTTAAATCATTATTCTACAATCAGCGATCAAACTATTTTATGGTAAGTCTAAAAAGTAACATTCACCACTAAAATTATCTTCTTCAATCGTTACATTTTATATAATAGACACAATAGAAACGTTTGAAAAATTAATTCTTTTGAAGCAAATATATTGTCACAAGTTCAACAAGTAAAATCTGCAGTCAGCGGTCCATACACCGAGAATTATTATTCACCAACAAAGGAGATGCTTCGAATTCCAAATTCTATCTGGAGGCAATGTCATTATCGTATTGCGACATGGTATCTAATGAAATTATTTTGAGCAAAAAAGCCCTGGAAATTTCAATTTTTAATTTTGAATATTTGAAAATTTTTTCGCGAAACTACTTATATTTAATCTAATTTTGTAAAGGCAGACAAAATAGTTGGTTAGAATTTTGTAGGAGATCAAATTTGATGAAAAATAGTAACATGATATTGGCTCTTAAAACGGAACAAATTATTTTGTCTGCACATGCAAGCGTTTGGATATATTTACCAACACTACATTTTTTCCATAACGGTAATATGTGTCCCTTGTCGCAGCGTGCATCCACATTCTTTACCACGTGACTCACGTCAGCTGGCCTGGCCCTCCACACGTGCACTTTCATGGCAGTGCGTGTTCAATGAGCATAAATGACGGCAAAGATTGTTAATAATGCTCTGATACCTACTCAAACGGTAACTAACAGTTCCTGACAATTAGAAAATATTCTCTGCTGCGTACACACGACGCAATACGGCGACCAGGTGATGATCTCATTCACCAATGCAAGCGCACGGCGACCTCCTCTGTTTTGTTTTTTTATTTTTGTTTCTTGGAAACATTTTGCGCGCTTGCCCAAACAGTGCTGCGCTCTCGTAGCAACGTTTAAAAGTACTGTATTTGAAATGTAATATATTACTTAATGTGTCTTTTCGTCTCTGCAGTTAGGTTCACGGATTTTGGGAGAAAAATATGTATAGGTCAGACGCCAAATTTAAATAAAATGTGTTAACATATTATCTTACAACTATCATACAAGAGTAAAAACCTCTTTCTATAAGACAATTTTTGTTGAAACATTTGGAGATCCTTTTAAGAAAATGGCATTTAAACGTTACTGTAAATGAAACAATTGAAGCTCTGTTTCCCAGAGATTTTTAGCTATTGAATATCTGTATTGAAAGTTTAAAGCACTTCTACTCACAAATGCAATAGTATATACGAATCGCTGGAAATGTATACTAAAAGTGTGAGATATATTTAAAAAATATTCTTGGGTAGTTTGTGGAAGGACAAAAGAATACAGCAAAATTAATTTTATTACATCTTAGATAGCGCAATTAGCAGTATTCGTAAGAAAAGTTAAAAACAATTGGATCCGTGCTTGAAAAAAAGGCGCTTGAGTGTTTATGAAAATATTCGAGAAACTTTATAAGACACCATTTATAGCATATGTACTCATAAATGCAATAAAGTAAACAAATTGCTGCTATGTCAATAAAAACGACGTGAGAGACAAATAACAAATATTTCAATTTTGTAATTTATGGAGGGAGAAAACGAATAGAGCAGAATGACGTTTATGTCATCTTTGGCACTATTCCTACCAAATGTTTAAAATATTTTTTCGAAAGTACAGAGTTTACAGTGAAAAAAGAACCAACGCCATCTTTATAAGTATATTTTACTCTTTTCTATAAAAAAATTGAGCTTCTTTTGTGAAAATTTCGAAAATGTCCTTAGGGCTTCCTGTAAAGTACCCCAAAATTTTAAAGAATGTCTTCCAAATTTGCAAAGCTTCAAGTCGACCGGGACTGACAGACGGATAGACGGACGAACGTTTTGAAAAATAGTTACTTATGTAACAAGTCCTTTAAATTAGTTCTTAAAGACTAGTATATGACGTATTACATACAATGTTTGTAGTTATTCCTAATTATTCTAGTTATTCAAAATAAATATTTCACACTTTCGTGAGTTACGAATTGCCATTAATCTGTAACGACGGTTGTTTGAAATAACAATCGCAGTGCGCGGATACATCGAAAGGATGAAGAGGGACATATGGAGACAAACTAGCTAGGAAGGACGAAGAATGCAAGGGGAAGATATGGGACAATGGTGACAATATGGGGAAAAAATTGGAAAAGCGGAAGAGAGGACAAAATGGCTAAAGGAGGACAAATTAGACAATAGAGACCAAATGGTAAATGGAACGAGAATACTAATGGGACAGTAAGACAAATTGGATAATAAGACTAATAGGACAGTAAAGCACATGGTACAATAAGACAAATGGGACAATGAGATAAATGGGACAATGAGATAAATGTGACAATAAGACAAATGGGACAATAAGACAAATGGAACAATTAGACAATTGGGAGAAGAAGACAAATGAGACTATTGAAAATACTGGGACAAATGGAGAAAATGGTATAAAATGAGACAAGGGGACAAAATTAGACATAGGGACACAATGGGACTAGGCTACACAATGGGAAGAGAGTACACAATGGGACAAGATGGCATAGTGGGACAAGGTAACAAAATGAAAGGGGACAAAATGGAACAAAATGAGGCACTGGAACAAAATGGGACTTTGTGGCAAATATGATAAGGGGACAAATTGGAACACGGGTCAAAATGGGATAAGAGAAAAAATGAGGCAAGGGGACAAAATGGGACAATGGGTACAAAGCGAAGGGGAACTAATAAGACATGGGGTAAACGGCAAGGGGACTGATGGGACATGGGAGAAACGGGAAAGGGGACCATTGGGACATGTGGGGAACACTTATCCAAAGATTGGTGAGCACTGGGAAAATCTAAATCCGAGAGTGCGATAAAATATTTTTAATGGACTCTCGAGCATTTTAAAGCCAGCATCTATGAAAAAAATTGTTTAGGTGGGTGGTTGCTCCGAAGGTAAGCAAGTATTTACCTACGTAATTAATAAAAAAAATGCTTTTTTTCTTATCAGGGGACCCACAACAGTGTAATTCCGTGGAACTCTCGAAATCGATTTTCCGCAGCATTATAGTTATAACTTTCTCAACACTACTCGTTACTACGTATACACGTGGTAAGCGAGAAAGTGAATATATTTTGAAGAGAAAGAAATATAAATATTGTAGTAATGGGTGTGAACTGTAATTATTATATTAATCAACTTTTTCAGTAAAGTTTGTAAATGTTGAGAAATTTGTTCATAATTGATTACAATGATGAAGTCTACAGAATGTTTCGAACACTGTTGCCCTAGTAACGAATGATGTTGAATGTCATTCAAATAAACGCTTTCAATGTTTCTTAGTACATTATTGATCGTCTATGTAACGAACTGTTGAATTTTACCTATAAAATGAGATTTTGAAATATTGATTTGCTGTTTTTAAAGCAGTTTAATGAAGAGAGATTTGTTACAACTTATTTCGTTACTTTTACTAATCACCATTCCACTCGTTTTATTCAATTCACATTTATTGAATATTGATTTCATACATTAATAGTGTGCAAATCATTACCCCTAGCCGTATCGGCATTCTATTGTCTATATGAAGACAAATACGCTTTTTGTAATTATTAGCTCACCTCTGCGAGGACTCTCGCATGTTACCAAACAAAGACGTACAACTGTGCATTTCAATCGCATAGAACATACAGTAATTAGTATATTAGTAACGAAAATAAGTTGTAACAAATCTCTCTTCATTTAAAAACTGCTTTAAAAACAGCAATCAATATTTCAAAATCGTCTTTTATAGGTAAACATTCAACAGTTCGTTACATAGGACGATCAATAATTACT